CCCCCCCCCCCCCCACCCTCCTCTCGACTTTTTTCGATTTGATGTTCCTCTTCCTCTGTGAAGCCTGAAGGCAACTAAAGGGCTAATGATAACCATCAAGATGCCTGCCATTTGATACAAATATTTCTGTAAATCTCTGCAAATGATGAAATGCTTGTTCAAAATCCGGGTAAATGCCATCTTTGTCGAAGTGACATTCACGATTGAGTATATAGCAGATGTGAAGGCATCTTCATTTTAAATTTCCGCACAGGGCCTTTAACACATATCTCTTAGAGCAGCAGTTGTCCCTTATAGTTAATCGATATTTGGGATAGTTAGGAGTGGAGCCGGGAAAAAGATGGAGGTAATTCGGTGCACCCGTCAGTGGTAGGGAATCATGGCGTTTGGGCAACTGTTGCATTTTGATCAACACAGGCGTCGCATTTAAATTTTAAATGAAATATTGCCACACACATTTTCATCAGGAACTGTTTTAGCTTCCCAGTGGGGTTGTTTTTCAGACATGTTAAAATTAGATATGCACCACATGTGGTTTCTGTCTTCCTTCTCAATATTTAAATGTACAAAAAAATGGATTCGTGTGAATTCATGCTCTGAACTTTAATAAGATTTCAACATTTGTTGCTGGGTTTTACCCAAGGCAAGAGAAACAGAATTCAGTTATTTGTAGGGTTGAGTATAGATTTTCTTTTGGGATAAGGGCAAATTTTGTGAATAGAACCTCGTGGACACTTTAACCCAACTCCCCCATTTGACTTCACGTTTCAGTTAAGGACGTCAACAATGGGCCAAGAACGCTCGGGTCTCGAAAAATTGACGTGGCGAAACCTGACGCAATCAAAAGAGGACAATAAAATGGAAGATAGAAGCAAAATGTTCAGTATTGGGTTAAATGCATGTGTACCTGGAATAAGATATCACAGGCTCGATGCGCGTAAAGAACGATGGTCAAATGAGAATTATTTCGCCGGAAGTTATCTCTCCCCCCTCTCCCTCTCTAGTCTAGTATTAATACCTGAAAACGCTTTTCCGCCGATGAAGATCTGAAGGATATCAGAAAAGTACCTCCATCTTTACTTTCACTAGCATTATCAAAATTTTCACGCTACGTAGTTCAAAGTTGGCTCACCTTGGAATTTTCATTTAATGTATGTATGTATAAGGAGTAGTAGAAAAGTTAGACCCCTTTTTGGAATGCTCCCTGTGACAAGTTATCAGCACACTATGATGTAGAGCAATAAGGTGATATATCATTGCAGAAGAAAACGAGCGGAAGGATTGGAAGGCCATCGAGGACTCTCATATACAACTCAAGGCCAGAAGCTTTATAACTATGTCTTTACCAGTGTAAGAATGCTTCTTCCAGTATGGTGCATGGAATGACAGCACTGACCTAGTCTGGCAAACATTTTTCAAGTGGCAGGCGTTTTGATAATTATCATGACCCCTTTAGCTGACTTCGGACTTCACAGAGAGGAGGAGGAACATCAAAGAGACAAAAAAGTCGAGATGGGGGACGGAATAATGATTTTACAAATGTAAAAGAGACAAAGGTAGAGAAAAAGGTGAGTTGTGTACTGTGGAAGGGATCGAATATGACATACAGTGGGGTGATGATGCAAGTAATCAAAAGAGTTTGTTTTAAATTCATATATTCACAATCATACTATATTCTTGACGCGCATAGCCCATTTGTTTATGGAATATTGAGGGAATTAATTTGAGGACTAGAGACACCCACAAAAATGCGTTGTCCAGACTGATCGAACATGCAACATGCGGATCAATAGATTAAATGTAAAATACCGATTGAACATTCTATGATTGACATTACAAAGTCTGATAACGTCGAACGTGTCTGGAAAAAATAACAAACGCATTAATAGTAGTTACTGTTTATACACTCACGTTTAAATTTAAATGACAATGAAAGATATGCTTTATACGGTTAAGACAGACGATCCCTTTTCGTTGGCGTTTTAGCAACAGCTCAAATTTTGATGGCTTATTTCGAGTCGGTTTACGTGTTTGTGCGTTCAAGTTGATTTAACTTCCTTTCAAGACACATGTTATAGATAGAGAGAGAGCCTTGTCGCTTAGAGAAACAAAACGCAAATTTACAATTTTGGAGTGAATGCTAAGATTGACTTTAACAAGGCAGATAGCTGTATACAATTATTTCTTTTGGTGTCTTAGTTGAAATGTGTTCTGGCGGTATTGCTAGAAAGCCACCTTCAATGCATCATTAGATTTTCCATTATTTAAGCTGCATTGAACAAAGATACCCAACAGAGCTCTGTGTTCAGACTGCCTACAACACAAATTCATGCGCACTTTCTGCTAATAGTAAAGATATCCAACGTCGGAATGTCTGCATTGTTTTATACGACCCTTTAAAAACCCAAGTGTGCTGGATTCTTGTTGAAACTTGCTCCACAGCAGTTTGACGACATACCTTCATTCATAAAGAGCCACACATACCCCCACACCCCAGTCCCATCTCTTTCACATTTAATGTCACAAAAACACACATAACTGAACTTGTTTCGGGGAAAAAATAAGTCGTGTGTGATTTTGTGGGGGGGGGGGGGGGGGAATTTGCGTGAGCAATGCGGAAATGTGATAGGCTAGTTGAGTGTACTCTGATTGGTTGATCAAGTGTAGAATGGGAAGAGTTGGCGGACGGTCATGATTTTGATAGGTGGGAAGGAAATTCTAAGGCTAACAAGTTCCCATGGCGTTAGTCGACTCAGTTGCATTTTGGTATGTGTTTTGTCCTTCTCTTTACCCACTTTGTTTTTTAAGGTGCTCTTAATGGCGATTCATTTCTCGTTAAATCTGGTTATTCTTGTATGGGGAATTTTTTAAATCTTATTCTTTTACTGATCATGGTTCTTCTCATTCTAAGCACTTCTACTTGATGATTGCGCTTACTATTGTATACTATTGACTAAAAACCAAATTTCGGAGAAAGGATGTCCCACTCAATTTCTAAATGTTGGGTTGAGTTTTTTCGAGTTCTTGAAGGGGTTTCTTTCTCCATTTCAGAACTTTAGGCAGGTGTTAAGCTGACGATATTTAGACTTTTTGTCCATAATTGGAAACAGAATCGCAAGTACTATTTGGACGACCGTTCATGTGACTATAAGTATAGATTTTAAAGGAAAGGGAAGAAAATAGAAAATTTCTTACTGTGATCTTAAAGTGTGTTTGAAAGGCAACTGTCCCTGGAGTTCATGTTGGAAAACGGTCGAGTGAGGTGCTGTACTAGGTGCTCGATTTCGTATATGTCTACACGGTCTCAAATTCCATTTTTCCGGTATAACTAGAAATCGAAAAACAAGGTTACAGATTGGATGATGGGGTCTATTCCATCACCATAACTTAGGATAGTTATCCTGTATTTTGGTCTGCTGATTTAGATATCAGTTGATTTTGGACCGGGTTGTACATTGGTCAACCCGACATTTGTTGAATGACGGGGAGAGTTGGACTTTCAACCATTCCACTGCTCGAGGGCAAAGAATCTGGATGCCTTGTAACGCCTCGTCCCCCTTTTAGATATTAACGTTAAGGCTCGGTTTAAATGGCCACGGGGTATAACTTGTAACAAGTTTTTAAATAATACGAATGGTCTCGCATTTGTTTGTGTTTTCGTAAGCACATATTTCAGGCGAGATCAAATCACAGGAGTTCAAGGGATTGCCTTCTACACTTTCTTCTTGGCTACGGAGTCAGTTCATCTGCTATTTTCTTCCTTTGAACAATGCTTCGTTACTTGTTACTCTGCCAATTATCCGTCGCACACGTTAGTGCTATTATCAGTGTGACAGTTCCCGTTTTTTCCAAATATACAATGCCATGCAATATAACTCCCCTCCCAGCAGCTATTGACTCGCAGAGGATTATGTGGTTCCAAGATGGACGCTATAATCTAGCGATCAACGAAATCATACTTTCCCGCGGAGAAATCCCATTCGGTGAGATCACGCCAGATGCTAGTGGCGACTATATGTGTTGTTACACCAATACCGAACCCGTTCGTTGCGCAGAAACGATAAGACTCGATGTAGAATGTAATCGTAAAATTAGCTTCTTCCCATGTTTGTTTATTAATTTCGACTTACTCTTGTCTGTGTTTGATTTCAGATCCCCGACCAAAGATATTCTTCGATACAATTCTGAATGCTACTATACCCGTATTTACTGGTAAGTAATAATTCTTTCCTAGGGTAAGGGTTAGACACCCTTTGGTATTCATCAGGGAGTGGAATGTGCAACCCGAAGTTGTTACATTTTGAGAATAATTGGGAGTTGAGTGTAGAAATTTGAACTTTCTCAAAAAGCGGAGCCCGTGATGGCCCGCTGTTTTAAGACGAGTTTTGAAAAATCCATACCTAAATGGCATTCGGCGTTGAATCACTGCCCTGGTAAAAATTTGGTCGGCAGGTGAGGTGGTTGAATGAGAATTTCTCGTTAGAGGTATCTAGGTAACCTCCTTATTACACAAATCAAATGCTGCAAGCACTTCGAGAAATTGGGATTAGGTGGATCCCACCTAAGTTAAGAGCAATAATACCTTAATTTAACAACACAAGAATACCTTCAAGGTTAAGTGGAATTAATTTTTAAATGACGTCTATCTCTCAGATCATCAGTATCATAGTTGTTGGTTTTCCGTTTTTAGATACGGTCTACTGGCTTCCTCAGATGTTAACAACACCACTTGAGCACCCGACTATAGCAAAATCTAAGGGTGAAGTGAGTTTCCACTGCTACTACTACGTGAAATCGTCTGGAATTAGGCATCCAGACGTTCAGTGGTCTTTTAACGATCGGTTGCCAGCTGGAAAACACTTTGAAAAAATCATTGATGAGAATACCCCAGTAAGTGAACATGATATACTTGATACACGCACACTCCCACCTATTGATATAACACTTTATGTTCCTTTTGCAGTTCCACAAAATTCATCGAACAGAAATTCCCTGCAAAGAAGACTATTTGAAGGGGAATGGAAGTCACTGTTTTCAAAGTACCCTTACTGTCTCTGTTGGACAAGGCAGTGCGGCGCAGAGGACTACCCACTATACTTGCTACGTCGCTATGACGATGGGTTTTGAGACGAACATACTGAAAGCTAACTACCGACTTGGCGACGGAAGTCGGTTTATTTACAAGTGATAATTCAACTCCATCAATCAATTTAGGAAGTGGGATGTTGCCCCTAGTCTTTCTATTCTTTTTTAATTTGTAGTTTGTCTGATATGAGGTATTTCAACAAGAACTGTTTTGAAAATCTAAACAATTCACCATCCCTGGAAGTGGCGATTGACAAATTGAATATCTGTGAACGAAACCAATTCCTGAATTTGTGGATTTCGCCAGCCAAGGATGGGAATGTTACTGTAGAGTGTTCTAGACCCCTATTTGTGGTTTTTGATGAAGGGCTTCAGGTGATGCTTCTTCCAGCTGATTTTGGACTCGTCAAAAAGTTCGCCCAATTGGAAGTTCACAGAAGCGAGGAGTTCTTTTCTGATATGCATAAATATGGGGAGCGATTATTAGTGAGTTGATTAGTCTCACAAATTGTTTCCTCCTGTAACTTTCAAAAATCCACTTTAGCTTATTGATCTTATTTAGCACTATCCTTAAAATCTTTCCTACTGGTTTACGTGTAATTGATTGACAAACGTCTGACGGGTGGTTTTCCTCCCCCCCCCTCCCCCCCTCCCCCCCTCC